TGTTTGCGGATTTAAAACGCTAGAATCCGGGTTTCGATACCCGTGGTGGGCAGAGCACGGATAGCCAATTGTGTAGCTTTGTGCTTAATTAGAAACAAACTTATCAACTGCTTGTTTTGTATTGAACTAGAGCGAATGTAAACTATCAACTGTTTTCTTTGTCTTCAACTGTGTGTACCGTTAAAATGTTTATAACTACTTACTGTTTTGTTTGGCTTCAACTTTATCGACTGTTAGATTGTCTAGTCTATATATATCAACCCGTTTTTTTGTAGTTCGTTACTGCTTGTTTTTTTTTAGCCATATAGTGTTAAGCATCAGTTTGAGTGTTCTTTTGTTACTGATGTTTTAGTTGTATGTAGACACCACTTATGTGTCTCTCTTTAAGCATCTCAACTGTTTAGTTGTTTTACATATATTTCACCTGTTTGTGTGGCAGCTTCGTTCAGGCCCGACAGTAGTTGACCCCGAGAGTCTAAGTGAATGTTTGACCATTCAACCTCTTCGACCGGTCAAACTCAGTGAAAGTTCATCTCCCCTTGATCCCGTGGACAGTGGTCTCGGGCGTTCACCCCGAGGGTCACAACCGAGCTCTTCAGGTGAACTATACACGGGTAAGCTCATTTCTGTTAACAATCATTCAGTGTAAAATCTCTGTTATCAACAATTGTTTTCTGCCAACAATCATTCACTGTAAAATCTCTGTTATCAACAATTGTTTTCTGCCAACAATCATTCACTGTAAAATCTCTGTTATCAACAGTTGTTTTCTGCCAACAATCATTCACTGTAAAATATTTATTAATGACAATTGTTTTCTGTCAACAATCATACACTGTAAAATATGTATTCATGACAATTGTTTTCTGTCAACAATCATTCACTGTAAAATATGTATTAATGACAGTTGTTTTCTGTCAACAATCATTCACTGTAAAATATTTATTAACGACAATTGTTTTCTGTCAACAATCATTTACTGTAAAATCTCTATTAACGACAATTGTTTTCTGCCAACAATCATTCACTATAAAATATTTATTAATGACAATTGTTTTCTGTCAACAAGTTGTCGTTAATAGAGATTTTACAGTAAATGATTGTTGACAGAAAACAATTGTCGTTAATAAATATTTTACAGTGAATGATTGTTGACAGAAAACAATTGTCATTAATAAATATTTTACAGTGAATGCTTGTTGACAGAAAACAATTGTCATAATAAATATTTTACATTGAATGATTGTTGGCAGAAAACAATTGTCGTTAATACATATTTTACAGTAAATGATTGTTGACAGAAGACAATTGTCGTTAATAAATATTTTACAGTGAATGATTGTTGGCAGAAAACAATTGTCGTTAATAGAGATTTTACAGTAAATGATTGTTGGCAGAAAACAACAGTCAATGTAAAATATTTATTAATGACAATTGTTTTCTGTCAACAATCATTCACTATAAAATCTCTATTATGGACAATTTTCTGTCAACAACCATTCACTGTAAAATATTTATTAATGACAATTGTTTTCTGTCAACAATCATTCACTGTAAAATATTTATTAATGACAATTGTTTTCTGTCAACAATCATTTACTATAAAATCTCTATTATCGACAATTGTTTTCTGCCAACAATCATTCACTGTAAAATGTCTGTTAACGACAATTGTTTAAGTCTGTACATACATCCAAGATAACATTACTAATCTATGAATTAAATTTTCAACTCTTGTGTTGTTAACTGGAAATATCTATCTATCTTTAAGACTGTTTTTTATTAATATACATTTGTCTTATATATGTGTGTGTGTATTAAACAAATAAATTATGTAAAGGTATTGATAGGTTGATCATTACAGAAACTTCGTGTTGTAATATAAAAAAACAACACTCCAAAGTAGATATGGTTGTCTATTTTTTGGGGGGTATGGAGTAGACAGCCCCCCCCCCCGAGAATGTTTTAGCGACGACATACAACTAGCGAAGAATAAATGTTGATGTTAGTAATTTCTCTCATCAGTATAAAGTGTTTAATTACCTAATATGTTCGTAATTACAATAGAGATACGAATCCATTGAAATGATTTTACATCTGAAATGATGGAAACACGTGGTCAGTATTTGTACTTTCACGTTATATTTAAGGAAATATTCACGTAGTTGGTCGTTTTCTTGTAAAACTAGAGGTATGTAAGTATTCCACAGTTTGCCAGTTGTAGCAATGTTCAGTTATGCACATTTTTTTAGCTGTGAAAATTGTATAAACATAAACCTACAAATTGCAGAATGGGTGGACAAGATCTGACTACCTCAAACACTTTTAAAAAGCTTCATGATATTTATTCAAACCTAACACTTTGTTTATTTTACTTAAGATAATGTTTGTTCAAGAACATTAACGACTTCTGGATTGAGTACAAACTCGTTTTTTAACAGCTGTTCTCGCAAGTGATCACTCCAGCCGATGTGGAACAGCTACAGGAACAAGTACTCACAATTCTCCGACCAATTTACAGGACAGCCAGATGACCACTGATGTACCGGATCGGTGAGTAGTAGTTTTTGAAAAGAAACAGGTTTAAAACTTAATTTCTCTCAACGTTGAGAATTTTAGCGTAGTTACAGTAAAACATCGTTTTTCACTGAAAATATTTTTGAGATCATATTTTTTTTAAAGTTTTTATTTACCTCTGTACAATATCAGCTTTTGATACTACAAAACACACACCAAATTTGTATGATTTCATAACATAAGCAATAAAACTGCACATTTTTTTTCCTTTATCTCTTGAATCACATAGAAAAAGCAGATGGAAACAAGCACTGCGAATCACGAGTTTATCAACTATAACATATTGAATATTTTCCATTTGTAGAGCAAAGAATATTGTGTTTAAAAGCTGCTACTGTAATTCATTCGCTGATTTTATTCTAGGATTGTATATTAAGTATTAACTGTTCTCCCTCAGACTTATAATTTGTATTCAGCAAGTACATGTGTAGGTTTTAACCACCTATTGTATTTTTTCTATTTTTATCCAGCAAGTTCTCAAAGCTTTTCTTTATTTTAATTGTTCAAATAACCTACTGCCCCTACTACAGTAATTTGAAGATGTTATTCTTTACGTCTCCCGGTGGCTTAGCAGTAAGAATGAGGAGTTCGATCCCTGCGATAGGTAGAGCGAACATAGCCCATTATGGCTTTGTATTACTTTTGATATTGCAAATATCATTTCAAAACTGCCCCCCCCCCAGTGGCACAGCGGTATGTTTGTGAACACACAACGCTAGAAACCAGGTTTCGATACCCGTGGTGGGCAGAGCACAGATAGCCCATTGTGTAGCTTTAAACAACAAACAATTTCAAAACTATCACCTTACATTTTCCCTTCTTTGTAGGTGTTGTTGTAGTCCTAATGAAATAAAGCATTTCATTTTTTTTGTAGAATTAAGTTTTTTATATAATCTGTAATGATTGTTTTCAGGCAAGGGTTTGTTAATTTGCTGTAATTGTCTAAGCCTTGTCCACTCAAGGGATCAAATGTTATAAGTCTTCAAACAAACCGTTGGACCATTAGTGGAACTGTGAGCAAGAGTCAGACTATTCAATAACGGCGCTCAGTTCTTTGTTTTCTTCCCAAGAGTATTTATTCTTACAGATCTAATATTTTGACATTATTCGTAAATTCTAAAGATGCTTGCATCAAACATCATGTTACTTTCAAGCTATTTTTTCATCTTTTCATATAGGTTTGAAGTAGTGCAGGACAGAAACCCAATACACAGGGTGCCGGTGCTGCCACCTATTGTACAAAGTCGCTCTTGTACTCAAGTAGAGTCTTTCATTCATTCTGCTGGCTTTGAAGGTATGGTGTAAAATCTTACAAATAATCTTGTTATATTTATTTTTTATACGGAATAGATATCACTTAAATACAACACCATGACAATTAAAACGGGCTGAAAAATTACTTCTGAAAAACAACAACAACAGTAAAAACAAAGCAGTTCTATTACACCTTTACAATTATTCAAAATGACTTTGTAAACATTTACCATGTTACATGAGTGTAATATGTTTATTTTAATTTTAGGTTTCTCTAGTTATATTTCACTTGTATTGTTACTCGTTTTGTATCTCTACTTCTACTGACAGTGATAATTCTCCCCATCTGATGTATTTTTAGTTCTACTTCTACTGACAGTGGTTATTCCCTCCTCCTGATGTATTTTTAATTCTACATCTACTGATAGTGGTTATTCTCTCCTCCTGGTGTATTATTAGTTCTACTTCTACTGACAGTGGTTATTTTCTCGTTTTGATGTATTCTTAGTTCTTCATCTACTGACAGTGGTTATTCTCTCCTTCTGATGTATTCTTAGTTCTATTTCTACTGACAGTGGTATTCTCTCCTTCTGATGTATTTTTATCATTACTTCTACTGACAGTGGTTATTCTCTCCTTCTGATGTATTTTTATCATTACTTCTACTGACATTTGTTTTTTTCTTTTCCACTGGTGTATTTTTATCATTATCTCTACTGACAGTTGTTATTCTCTCCCTCTGATGTATTCTTAGTTCTACTGACATTTGTTTTTTTCTTTTCCACTGGTGTATTTTTATCATTATCTCT